TTGCTCGTTATCGGTACGAAGGCAGCCAAATTTCCTGCCGCCGTGTGGCGAATAAGTCCTCCTGTGCACTTCCTCAACTTTTCAGGCCGTTACATTTTCAGTTTTTGCCTCATGGGCTTAAAAGCACAGCATACGTCTATATTACGTAAGCGGCTCGTGTGCCTGGTGTACCTCCCGCTCACTGATTTGTTCATTATCTGTGTGAATATTTCGATATCCGGCTGCCCCCAGCATTGCGTCCGGTGCCTCCCGTCCGGCTTCTTTCACTCGAAGTCTCTGAATCAGCATCGTTACGTTAATGTGAAGAGAAGATGGAGATAGAATCACTGGACGTTTTCGCCTCTCTTGGTTTTGATTAAAGCCCTAGGCCATTGTCTAATAAGCCGACCCCTTCAGGTGTGCGTGAAGAAATGCCCAAGCACCAATTTCTTCGCCTCACCGTTTGCGTCTGAGGAGCAGTTGTGCGTGCGGGATGTGCGCGAGCGCTTCTACTGCCGGCCGGGGTCGACGCGACGGAGGAGACCAGCGGCGGAGGGTTCGCCCGCACCTGCCAGAGTCTGCTGGCCAGGGACTGCGCGCCGTACACCGTGGCCAGCGCACCAAGTAGGTCCCCGGCACAGCCAACGCCTAAGGTGGCCCCCAGCGCAGAAGCCAGCACCAAATGTAAGTTCACGGCACAGCAGCCACCGCACCATGCAGGTCCCCGCCACAGCAGCCACGCACCAGGAAGATCCCGCCACAGCAGCCGGCGCCTCAAGAAGGTCCCGGCGTAGCAGCCACTGCACCAAGTAGGTGACCGGCGGCAGCCAACGCCCCAAGTAGGTCCTCGGCACAGCAGCCACTGTACTAAGTAGTTCACCGGCACAGCAGCCAACGCCCCAAGAAGGTTCTCGGTACAGCAGTCACTGCACTTAGTAGGTTCCCGTGCATAGAAACCGGTGACCACGCAGGTGCTGGATACGTACAGCCCGGTGGCCTCTGAGGTAGGTCCTCTTCACAAAGGCAAGCGTCTCTGATAGGTCCCTTAAGCCGTGTCCAGCGCCCCATGTAGGCGCCTGATATCGTAAACGGGGCCCCAGGCAGGCGCCTGATATCGTGGCCGGCGACACAAGTAGGGTTTGCTGCATGATGTCCAATGCCCTACCTACGAATGATGTCCAGTGGTTCGAGCAGGCCTCGTGTACCTTGCCCGGCTCCCCTAGTGTGTCCCTTGCTCCTGCCCCGCCCCCCCCCCCCTCCGCTCAAGTATCCGCCTGCATGGTGGCTAACGCCCCAAGTAGTTAACCCTCGCTCCGTAAGGAGCGCCCCAAGCGGCAGGTTCCACGTCATGGCTAGTATCCCTAGAACGCCTGTACACATTGACGAGCTCCGAGACGCGTTATTATTGTCATGGAGCTTGACCCGAAGAGTAATCAAGGAGGCTTGATTCTCCAAACGGTTGACAATAACAGATAGTATCACGGACGGATACGGATAGTATCCTATTTTGGGTCCATAGCCGTGACATTTCCTGGTAGTATTGACGACTGATACTGAGCTATGCCAGACGGTACCATTTCGATGCCGATACCGATGGCTGGCTAACCCACAACTATGACTTTCTCTGTCTCCATAAATGTTTCCAGTGATACATCTTGGACTTACCAATACAATGCAGCCAAGTCATGTCGTTTGCCTGCCCTGTGCCTACATGCGGATGCATAATCAATGCATCACGACGGTATGGTTTAGGCCCAGGTGCCCTGTCGGGCCCCTCCGCTCGTATTTAACCATCTGTGTACCGACCTTCAGGCGTCCCCCACAAGAAAAGAAAGACAAAAATGGCTAGCCCAATTAAGTCATCTAAATGGGCATGTGTCACGTTGCTGCCTTGTTTGATGTTATTGCATCAACGCCCTGTGTCTCACGCTTGTGTCTCCTCATCGCACAGCAGAGCTTTTCCCGGCAGTCTTGGACCGGTGCGTGCCCACATTGGGGGCGGAACAGGTCGTCAATGGGACCTTGGTGGACAGCAACAACAAGACTATGGGGGATCTGTCGCTGCAGAGCATCATGACGGCCTGCGAAAACCTTGGCTCCTTCCTCAAAATCAAAGGGGTGCGTTGTAAGATATGAATTGATGTTTTAACGCAGCACGGCAGAGCGTTTCAGTGGGGTCTCAATTGAGACTTCACCAGATCTTGCGATTCTCATGTTGGTAGAATGATTGAAATGATTCCAAGAGCAGTATTAAACAACGCATTATTTTTAAAATGTGTTATGACACACAAACACACACACACACACACACACACACACACACACACCACACACACACACACACACACACACACACACACACACACACACACACCACACACACACACACACACACACACATACACACACACACACACACACACACACACACACATACACACACATACATACATACATACATACATACATACTACATACATACATACTACATACATATACATACATACATATACACATATACATATACATACACCATATACACTACATACACACACATACATACACACACATACACACATACACACACACATACATACATACATGCATACATACACCTGAAAACGTGTCTTATTGAAATGCGATTGCGATTAAGCTAAGTTTGGTTAGTCAATATTGGCACACTTTGTCAATAATTATAAAACATCAAGAGGCTTCTTATTTTCTTTTTATCGGCAGCATTCCTAGAATTGCTGATCATGCGAAGTATAGGTCATTATAAGTGAAAGAAGCATCACAGACGCACTTTTTCAGAATGTACAACGTGTTTGCTACCATGAAATACTTATAATGCATACGATCAAGAATGTTGTTCGCACACAGTGCTTGCTGTCTTTTTTAGACTTGTTGCTAATTTTGCACAATATCAGGTGGTGAAACGCGATAGGAAAAAGTGTCGGCAGTTCTGCCTTGTTTCCTCGCTGTGTTTTTTTCTCTTCTTTGACTTGACAATAACATCATGATAATTCCTGAGCGTTATATGTTTTGTGGTCACAGTTCGGTCAGGATGTCGGCAAGGACTTCCAGTCGGCATGGTGGGTGATTGTGGTAGCGCTCATCGTCTGCATGTTCGTCTCCCTCCTCTGGATTCTGCTCATGAGGTGGTTCACCTCCATCATGGTCTGGACTGCACTCTTCGGCTCGCTGGGAGCCATCATATACGGGTACGCCAAGCCGAAACTTCTCTCGCTATCATGTGCTCTCTGTCTGCAGGTGCATTTGCATATAATTGAATAACATTGACTAGCTAGTTCGAATGGCATTGTCATACTAGTTTGCCGATTACCATCACGCGTATTGTGCTTTGCATACGGGTATGCGCATATTGAAATTCAAGATCGCCATTTGACCTGAGTGTTCGCGTGTGGAGCAGAGACCCGTCTCCTAAAGCATCATCAAAGGAGCACGTGCGTTTCAGATGTGTCTACACTTACCTGAGGTATGACAGGCTGAAGGATACGGAGACGAACCAGCCCACGGACAACAGCAAAGCGATGACAGTCAACGCCTTCACGTCCAGCGCCAGTTCCCTCCTCCAGCAGAAGAACACGTGGCTGGCCTTCTTCATCTGTCTGGTGGTCCTGGGCGTGATTCTGTTGCTCTTAATCATAATTCTCTTCAAGCGACTCAGGATCGCCATTGAAGTCATCGAAGAGGCCAGCAAGTGAGGATGCAAAAGTTTGAACTTATTGAGTATGACAATGTTACAACTGAAAGCCATCAGCATCATAGACCCTTTCGCTCGTAACAACGGTTGGACGTTATGCGTGGAGGAGGAGCTACTCACTAAAAGGAATGGGCGGAGCAAACCATGAACCCACGTCTGCACACGCTGACTGTGGCAGGAAAAACGGGCACTTTTGGAATCACCCCTGTCGTCAACCACGCGCAGCGCACGGGGCTCCCTCGTCTGACGATCCCCGGACAACCCGGGCATCATCAGGCTCTAACGGTCTCCAGGCCAAAGGCTCTCCGAACCAGATGAACCAAACGAACCAGGCGATCCCTGCACACCACCATAGGCTTAGGGCGTACCCAGGCTTTGGCGACCCCTCTCCGACCCTCCAGGGCGTCCCGAGACGCTGAAAGTTCCTAGACCACCAGGGCTTTCCCAGGCTCTGAGTATCACTCCCTCCAACTGGTAGGACGCCATCGGCTGGGGCAGTTCCTCCCTGGCCATTAGGCCATCTTTAGACTCTGACGGTCCTTTCCCGAATCATCACCACGTTTTCAGTTTGGCAGTCCTTCCCCAAATCATCAGGATGTTCTCAGAGTCTGACGGTCCCTCCCCGAATCAGCAGGACGTTTTCAGAGTCTGACGGTCTCTCCCCCAATCATCAGGTCGTTCTCAGAGTCTTACGGTCTCTCCCCGAATCATCAGGACGTTTTCAGAGCCTGACGGTCCCTGACGGCCCTCCACAGGTCAGTGACGTCGATCTTGACGACGCTGTTCTTTCCGCTGGTACCGTGGCTGCTGCAGCTTGTTGTAGTGGCCTTCTTCATCACCATGGCCCTCTACATTGCCTCCATGGGCACCTCAGAGTACCGCGTGACGGCTCTGCCCGACGACTGCACCAACGGCTGCTCCAATTTCGCAGTAAGCTGGCAACGCTGCTCTGCACGCGCAAACTCGGCAACAGGACGGTGACACTGGATATTGAGGTAGCGCCAATCTCGATTTTAGGTGAAGTGGCTTTGCATGACACCTGCTTTTCATCTGGCGTGGCCTGCTCCCTGCTGTAGTCGTCGTATCTGGCCCTTCCACTCCCATTTGCGTATGGAAAGGAATACAGAGCGTCTTCGCCAGGTGCAGAAATGGGTCGTCGTTTCCCTCAGACTTCAAGTGTTTATGCCACAAAGTAGTGCGCGAACAAATTTATCTAAATATGATGTTTGTAGCACCAGTTGGCGCATTTCAACACCTCCTCGTGCCTATTGCAAACGCATTGTTCAAAGTTTCTACTGAATATTTCAATTAGCATTCCTTGTCTGACAGCGTTTATCATAACCACCTTGACTGAGCGTGAATGCACATTTTCAGATGAATGAAACCTGCAATCCGGAGGAATTCAGTAAGACCTGCCTCAGCCAGTGCCCAGATGCCGAGTGCAGCTTCTTCGGCTATAACAAGTTCGAATCCATTCCGTACCTACACGTATGTTTGCAGGACGCCTGGAAGTAGCAAAATGTCATGCAATGCCACGTTTATAGTTGTTGTGATGGAAAAAGCCAGCTTTTAGTATGATAGAAAGTGCTGTGATACGAAGATATCAGAAAAGCAATGGGGCATATTAAAAGGATGCTCAATTTGCCCAAGAATGATCGTCATCAAGAATGAAAAAAACATTAGGGAGTACCTATCTATGATTTAAGAATCTGAGGTCTGTGAAAGACAAAATGTTCTGAGTGCGTGCGGCCTCAACCAGTGAGAAGGTACATTAATAGCAAATAATGCAAGCTCTCACATCCTCGACCCGATGCGCGATCTTATGGTGACTGCTGAGGACTGATCAAAACCCGGATGATGACGGCCAAAACGCCAGGTCTCGGCGACCGGCACCGAATACAAAAAACAACAGTCATCAGATCCCCACATCTTAACACATGGGGCCGCACATTTACGGAGAGGTTGCACACCACTGAAGGAAGGCATGGTGGACAACACACGGACGTGAATAGTAATACAGCGAAGACCAACTTACAGCACCAACAAGAAGCAGCAAACACCTGGACGTCGTCCACGCATTATGATACGCTTATAAAAGAAATGTTTTTTTATGAAGCGTAATCGAAGCGTAACAAAGATGAACAGCGTTTTGAACAACGTAACTTTCCTCTCATTTCGGGTTGCAAATCATGCTCAAATCTCTTACATCATAATGCTTTGAAACCGAGCAATGTAGATCTACATTCATGGCCGCCAAATCGCCCATTGCTTGTTTTGCATGCATCAGGGGGCCGAACAGAGGCGAAAATATTCCGTGACGCCCCCGAAAATATTCCGTAACGCCTCCGAAAATATTCCGTGACGCCTCCGAAAGGTCCGTCCATTGCGTCACCTAGAGACCGAAACGTCACGCATTGTAGCAATGCTGCAGCTGACCGTCGTAAACCGGCGCTCATCGTCACCTTCAACACCGTTGCAGTTCTACAACCTATTCGCTCTGCTGTGGGTGATGTTCTTCGTCTCGGCCATGGGGGAGATGATTCTGGCGGGTGCCTTCGCGGCATGGTACTGGACGTTCGATAAGCAGAAGAACCTGCCCGCTCTGCCCCTGCTCAGCAGCGCAACCCCGAACACTGCGGTAACTGGCGCATACGCTCTGTTGATTGCTTTTGTGGGAGGGCGTTTGTGAATGTTTTATAGGTAGCATTCAACTTGTGCACGCCCAGAGATTCCTCGGCAAGTTTAACTTAATTTGTCAACCAGTATTCACGAGCAAAGCTACGCTGGCATTCCTTGTGTGGCGACTTATTGTTTGTGACTTCTAGCGACATAGGATGACTCATTGCTAGAAAATTTTTAATATATTTGAAAATAGTGTGCATTGACAGCATTGGCGGGAAGAGCCGTTGTTAAAAAACATTGATGCTGAAATTTTGAAAAACCGTTGCATTGAACGCAACGCGTCTCTGCACGAGTAACGCATGCCTTCCTCCAGGTACCATATCGGCACGCTGGCCTTCGGCGCTCTCATCATCGCCATTATAACGCCTGATCCGTCTGATTTTGGACTACATCGATAAAAAGTGTCAGCAGTACCCCGGGAACCAGGTACAGTGCTCCGCAGCGGTAGCGGCGTCATCGACAGCGACTGTCATTAAGATGGGCGGACGCTGAGATGCGGTGCTCCCAGCCGAGCTGATGTTACGTTTCACTGTTAAACTTGCATTAACAGTGTATGGGGGGCCCCCACGGTGCCTGCGTAACGGTGACCACAAGCGGGTTTCATTGAAGTCCGGATGTGACCTTTTCCAGGTTGTAAAGGTGATAATGTGCTGCTGCAAATGCTGCATGTGGTGTTTGGAGAAATTCATGAAGTTCATCAACAGGTAATCGGGATGCATACAAAACGCATGTGCTTGTTCTGTGTCCGGTAATGACAAAGATGATTGACAAACAAGTAGCCCGATGTCTCATGTAAAAATATTACTTTGAAAAACCCATTTCATTATTAAAGTGACCGACATTCGTGCTGAAGAGGTCGTGAAAAGCAGCAGCACGTGGGCTTGCACGCAATTCATGGTCACGGTGATTGTAATGCACTACCTCACTACCAGAATGGTGGCCTGCAGTGAGGTTAATGCGTTCCAGAAATGCATACATCATGTGTGCCATCTACGGGAAGAACTTCTGCACATCTGCCAAGGACGGCTTCAATCTCATCATGCGGAATATCCTACGCGTCCTGGCAGTTAACTCGGTCAGTACCTACACAATCTCTATCAGATATATTCCAACTGTGTGCAATTTTTAGCCCATTATCCTTTGCACATCTTTATCGCCTTGCGCGTGAAACAGTGCCGCTCTGCCAGCTTGGGGCCCTCTGACGCCGGCGCCGCCCCACAGGTGTGCGACTTTCTGCTGTTTCTGGGCAAGATTCTGATCACGGCGGCCGTGACGGTCGGCTCGTTCTACTTCTTGGACAACCGGATCCCGATCAAGGGTCTGGACACGGTGGTGCCAGAGACGCAGAACAGCTGGGGTGGCCCACGATCACCATCGCCCTCGGCTGCTACTTCATCACGTCGCTCTTCTTCAGCGTCTACGAGATGGCCGTAGACAACCATCTTCCTCTGCTTCTGTGGGTCGCCGTGTTGGCACTGGTGTCGATTCCATAGGCTATACTGGTGCCGATTCCATAGGCTACTGGTGCCGATTCCATGGACTACGACCCGAGCCTTGTTGGCTTGTTTTAGAGAAGCAACGAGGCGAGATGCTGGAAATATCATGCATTATTCATGCATTATGTGACTTCAGCTCTTTTGTTCAGAACATTGTTATATTTGATTCCTAAGTACACCGTTGGTTTATGCTGTTAGTCATATTGGGAGGAATGGGGGAGAGTGAGGAGACGAGCCGTCCTTTTGTGAAAATTTTATTCGAGCCTTATGATTCTGCGCGAACTGAGGGTACATCAAGGGAGATTGACCACACTTTCGGCGGTGCTCCTGTGCCCATTTGCCGCGGTCCGTGTTATACGCACATTGATGGGAAACATCCCACAGATTTCTCACAACGGCATTGCCGTCGCATCTGCCCCAAACCCGACGAAAGTATTCATAGCTGCTTGCGTGTACTAAAGGACACCCCTTCTCTTTTCCAGTGGAAGACATTGAGCGCAATGACGGCTCAGCGGAAAAGCCTTACTTCATGTCAAAGGACCTGATGAAGCTGATCGGCAAGAAGAATAAGCCGCCACCTAAGTCTCCGCCGACCTAGAGTCTGCCTAGGATCAGTACCTGGAGGCGTCCGCCCCTCTCTGTGTTGTGACTATATGCCGACGCCGACGGGGTGCTTGCTGATGCCTTGTGCCTCGGTGGTCAGTCCTGCTAAGCTGTGTTTTTGACCTCAGGTTATTGTGATGGCTCTAAATCTGTATCTGCTGGTCATGTGGCGAGCCATTTTTTCTTCTTGGCTAGGATGAGTTTGCCGAGTTCATTCCGTAATGTTGCAGCAGACTGGTGTGTAAAGTAATGTCGATCATATGTTGTCATTGACACTATTTCAATGATGCGAGAATTAGAGATTAATGATGCCATGGGACTTTAACAAAAGCGGCGCCCTCCATGCTTTTGGTAAACAGTTATTGGTCGCTGCCATATTTTTTCTAAATTCAACATTCTGTTTGCAAGCCATGTCAAGCAGCACCAGGCACCACTGCAAGCGTCCTGTCAATAGTTGCTTCATATATTTAAAAAGCCAATCTGACAGCAAGATTGTTGAAGTCTTTAGTTCAAAACAAACCGCGCTGTAAGCTTTCGTGACAACTGTAAGCAATGTCTTGCCTTAGACTAGAAGCAAGCAGTACGCTGGCAGCTAGGGTGTAGTTTGTTTTGTTTATTGTTGTTGAAGTGCTCTGCACGGCGTTGTGAGTTACTTTTGTTGGTGCACTGTTAAACACGTGTATGCACCAACTGCCGTGGCCTTTGTATACGTATGCTGTGGCAAAGGAATTGAAATTTATCATTCTGTAACATATAATAAGTTAGCGTTGTAGGTTTTGATTGATTGGTCATGAGTTCAGGTCATACCATGATTTTGGTGTTCATCATTTAAACAACTGTATGATTTTCAACAAAAAAATACTGCCCCTGAATATGCTGTGTTTACCTGCTTTATGGTGTTCTGTTAAAAATCAAATTTACAGCTCTCCGGTAATTATGGTACTTTGGAATCACGGCGAACGTGGGACGGTGCGAGGCCAGTCAATATTATAAGCTGTTGGACGCAAAAGTCAATGAGCTTCAAAACTTTCAGACTGTTAGCTTTGTAAGGTACTTAATCATAACAGAAGTGCCTTACGCACACCAGGCACTCCTATGAATCGTCTAGCTTTGTCAGAAGCGATTTTTGTAACGGCAAGAATCTCATTATTTTGCAGGTTTATTCAATAAATGTATTTCCAAGATAATAACATATATTGATAAAACACTGACATACACATCAGTGCTAATGTTGCCACAGACGTGGGACTATGCCACGCAGTTTGCACAAAAGTGCCACTCGTCTCGCAGCCATAGAGGATGGCTTCACTGGAAATGTAACAATCGTGACTTCGAACACTACTCGCATCACATCGCACATGCAAACTGTAGCATACAGAATCGATGGCCTAGCGTACTTCATTCACTAGGTCATTCGGGTGGCATATAATGCTAGACAAAGGGTGTCACTTTAAAAGATTGCAGGGGGAGGAGAGGGCTGAGGTTTGCTAATGCCGACTTGAGTCCCTTAATACATCTGAGGCTCCTGAAGAGAAAAGTTACGTTGTTTTCCTCAACAGAGCCAATTATACTTGCCGCACAATTGTGACTGTGGTGGTAATCGACTTCCCATTGAATTGCAAGACAAACCAGCGTCAGCGGTACGTATAAGCGACTTGTCAAATCTGCCAAATCTGTCAAACTGTGGCGGCAAAAAAGGAACCCCTGGTTGCACCATGTCTGTTCAGGATGTGCAACAGCCGGATCTGCTGCAAGCGGGGCGATTTGCCTGCAGATTTCCCACGGTGATGTGCTCTTTTTTGGAACTGATAACTTTACTGGCTTATTTCGTTTCTGTTTTGATATCTGGGGTGCCAGTCAGTGGCCGAAGCCTGGGGAAAACCTAGGTTTTGAAAGCAAGTTTGGTCAATCTTATGGGCTCATCCCCCTTCCCTACCGATTATGGAAAGTGACACTCCTACACTAGGCCTCTGTACAAATGCGTTATTGCTCGATAACATCATGGAAGGTAAACCCCCAACACATTCCCGTAAACGAGCGTAGTTGGTGCCCGGCCAGTCCTGTAAACGGGTGCGATCTTGTGCTCACTGACATATGCATCAAGTGGTGGAGACAAAACGTTTTGATTGCATAAATCACCTCGGCCCCGTTGGCCATCACTCAAATGCACAGACAGTCAGCCTCTCCGGATATCACCACACGATCGTGCAGGCGGTATTGCGGCTAAAGTGACGTCGCAGGCAAGTTTTCACATGTCCAGTCTTGCACCGTACCTTTACTGGAGCACCAGTGAATATTTGCTGCGTATTTTCACGGTGCACTTATGGTTTCCGTTGTCGCTAATTTTGATTTAGCCTTTCACACAAATTCTACCGTTGCATATCACATGAGCGGGACTCTCCCGAACTAAATATAGGAAAAGACCGATTCCATCATGTTGATTCGTTTTGTGTGATATGGCAGGGTGGTTTAACAAGGAGAGCGGCATGGTTGCTTAAGATCAGCGCAGCTCTCTTACTCAGCATCTGCCAGAGACGATCACGTGACATGTTGTCACGCATACAGTTTCCCTTTGGCCAACATCACACAAGGCCGAAAATTAATCCAGATAGGTACGTAAGGTGTGATGTGGTGATGGGGTATGGGGTATGCTCATGGGAATTTGGGATGTTTTGAGATATACCACTGTACCCAGACTTTTGATGCTGCGACTTTCACGGCGAAATATGATATCTATTGGAGTGACGCAATAGCACTGCCCAGCCCTGAGCACCAGCTGCCGAGCCGCTGAGCCCCGGCCGGCTGTGTTCGCCCTGACAGCGGACCGCCGCCGCCATCACCGGGCCGCCGCCGATCGCGTGACGTCCACCTCTGGCATGAGCGGGTGACCGGCCCCGGTGCCGCCCGAGCCGGCCGCCTGGCGCCGGATCTCGCTCAGCACACACCGTGCACTATGTCCGTGACGTGATGCCGGCCCGCCGAGCCGGTGTCGTCATGCGACGCGCCGCTGCCGCTGCCGCCGCCGCTGACGTCGGCCGAGCTAGACGAGTCAGCCGGGGCATCGTCGGGCCGGCCGGCCGCCCGTCACTCTCCGACCTCGCGCGCCACCTGGTGACAGGCGGGGCGCCATCTGGTCAGCCGAACCGATCGCGCGCTCGCCGCTCGCCGCCAGCTGACTCGGACCGACCGAGGAATCAAACCGTTGTAAGTGGGTCAGCAGAGCTTTGGCAGTTTGTTGTTTCGATATTTTCGAGATATTGATGAGATATGCAACGGGTTTGCTTGCTGGATAAGCTGAGTGAGCTCTAAATTCAGTATCTGAAGCTGGTAAGTTCATGTTGCGATGCCAGGAGCTTCATTGCGCCAAGCTCTTCAGCAGCGATTCTAAAAAATATTGCTTATTGACAACGAGTTCTGCTTAAGTCGACTCAGCACGGTGCACATAATCACATTGAGGATAGTTGTCAGCTAATAACACACTTAGCAAGTTGTGCGCATGGATCCAGACACAGGCTTTGAAAGCGAAGTGCCGTTACAAATTAATCTGTTATTCGGAACGATGTTTTGGGAAAATAGGACTTTATGTGTCATCCCGTTTCTGTAGCTACACCAAACAGCGTCAAAACACAAATAAAAAATGCAGAAAACCACATGCCCAACTCTTACAAAAATTCAGCAAACCGCATACCCGACTCCTACGCTACACGAGACCAAGGCCGCCCCTTGACCCTTATGGTCACAAGAGTCGAGGCTCACACCCGTCTTCCAAGGACCGCGCAGGCCTGAGGAGTGCCCGCTCTCCCTGTGCGTACCGCGGCGGCCGGCTGGCCGTTAGTGATGGGGCCGACCCGGGTGGCGCCACCGGCGGCGCCGCTCAGCTGACTGCCAGTGGCCGTGGCCGATAGGGGACCGTGTCCGAACAGCTGCTGCAGCTCCAGGTAGATGCAGCGCTTGAGCTCGTCAGTCACGTGCACCTCGTCACAGTCGCCGTCAATCTGAGCAGACGAGAGACGGGCCACCGCCGGGTAGACAGGTCAGAGCTGGGGATATGGGTCACAGCTGAGAAACGGGTCGCGAATGGGCTGAAGAACACGATTAGGGTGAGGTGGGTTGATCTGTATAGGAACTTACTTGTGCTATTTGAAGTCTGTAGGTCATGTCCTTTGCGTCAAATAGGCTTAAGCATGGTCACATTCAAGGTAATAAATGCCCCAGATCTACTCATACAGCCGCTTTAAGCCTAGATGCCTATTCTAAGTCAAAGGTGACTGACGTTTATTTAATGCCAGTGGCCTTGTTTGATCTTTAGAAGGTTTCGCGACCAAAAACCCATGAGGGTATTTTGAATTTTAGGCTGTTTAAGATTACGCTAGATGGCACGTTCCGAAAAACAACGGGTTGATTTGGATCGTCATTTAAGGTCAGTATCCTACTCTAACCTTTTAGGAGTCAATAAGGGATGTCTGTTCCGGTCCCTGTTATCAAGAAATTCGAAATGAGCATCATAAACTACCCCGTGAAGCAAGCTCTCCAGTAAAAAAACAGCTTGGTTTTGACCTCAATCTGACCTTCAGACCTGGCCGTAGGTCGATGTAATTCGTTGCAACTCTAAATTCAACTGTTGTGTTGCCTAAGGAACTATCTCAGATATGCACAGCTTTGTCTAACACTCCGCTGTCGCATCAGATTGAACGGTTCCCTAGAAACTAAATTCGCTGACAGCCACGATCTGATTTTGAACTGCCATAGGCCACCGACCTTCTAAGGTACCTATCATTTTGTACACCAAATTATCTTATCTCCAATTGTCTACAGCTGTGCAAAGTTTGGCGCGGCGTACCCGCACCATTCGAAGATTATCCTGTAAAAGTCTTCGGGGTCAAACTGACCCCTACCCATGCGCGTATCGAATGCCACGGTCACGCGACTTCCTCCTCCACAATGAAAAGCTGGACGAGAAAATTCCCGCGCTCCAACCACAGCAATGGGGTGGAAATCACGGCCCGCGGTCGGCCTCCTCGGCCGTGGCCGGCTCGTTAGCGAGCTCCGCGTACAAACACACACCTGCCACCACTAATTCCACAATCTGGGTACGATCAGGCCGCGAGCCGCCCCGATGCTAAATTATGAATGCCGCAATCGGCAAAAGACGGAGACTTACGCCACGCCGAAGTACGCTACGCCTCGAGGTTTCGCCGGGCGTAAAGCACATTGGAACACGGCACTGAAAGATCGAGCCCATATTGGCTGTTTTTTATTGACGTTGGCCACACGTGGCGGAAAATAACTGCGTGGAGAGGCTGCACCAGCCCAGTGTTTTTCCGCAGCAGCCTGCAGCGCTGTTCATGTACGCAACATCACGCAGTGTGTGCTATGAAGCGAAGTGAGGCCCACAGAGTCGACAGAGCGGACGTCCCTGCTACCCGAGCGTTTGCCGCCGCACGGGCGGAAAAGTTGGAGTCACAGTCGGCGTCTCGTCCGGCCCCGCAGCTCGTCGGCGCGGGGTCTCACCACGAGCAGCCGGTGCGCCTCGTCCAGAGCCTTGACGGCCGGCAGTGTGACGGTGCGGTAGAGCTCGAGCCGGTGCCGGCACGCCTGGACCGTGTCGTCGATGTCCTCCCGCCGGCCGAGTGTGCGGCCCAGCTCCAGCTCAGAGCAGTCGATCAGCACGATGTCCGACTGGCGGCCGTGCTGCGAGCGCGGCGCGCCGGGTGTCAGCGTACTCCGGGCGTCAGGGTACTCCGGGTGTCAGGACACTCAGGGCGTCAGGGTACTCCGGGCGTCAGGGTACTCCGGGTGTCAGGACACTCAGGGCGTCAGGGTACTCCGGGCGTTAGGGCACTCCGGGTGTCAGGACACTCAGGGCGTCAGGGTACTCCGGGCGTCAGGGTACTCCGGGTGTCAGCGTACTCCGGGCGTCAGGGTACTCCGGGTGTCAGGACACTCAGGGCGTCAGGGTACTCCGGGCGTCAGGGTACTCCGGGTGTCAGGACACTCAGGGCGTTAAGACACTCCGGATGTCAAGGCACTCCGGGCGTTAGGGCACTCCGGATGTCAGGACACTCAGGGCGTTAGGGCACTCCGGATGTCAGAACATTCCGGATGTCAGCACACTCCGGATGTCAGCACACCTCCGGGTGTATATTCTGCGTGTCAGCACACTCCGGGTTGTTGCACACAGCGTGTATCAGGACATTCCGGTGATCAGGGTACTTCAGGCCTGAGGTCACTGGAAAGTAATAATATTCCGGGTGTGGTTGTGGGTGGCGATACACTTACAACTGACAATGGTGCGTGGTTAGACAGATTAATTTGGCTTATCCTTCGCAATATAATGTAGAAAGGGCATTCTGAGGCCCGGAAGAAGGCTCTCACTGAATGCGGAGGAAAAGACGGCTTAAAATCTTAATCTTTAGTGCGGCTCCGTGTTCTTTTCGAAGTGTAGTGTTTTGATGGGACGGCACAGGTAAGCCAATCAAGCGCTGACGGTTGTGGAGAATATAGAACATGCATTCTCAGAAAAAATGTGATAACTTTTTACGTCTATAGATAGCACCTTTCGAAATAGAATTAACACAACCATAGGTCAGCGAAAATGGGCATGGACGCGATCACGCACTTCCACGGCACGGTCACCTACGCACCTCCAGCTCGAATTGTTCCAACTGCTCCAGGCAGCGTGGGAAGCCGGAGATTATAAATCCCCGAGAGGACGGGTTCTGGTCCATGGCCTTGGACAAACAGCTGAGAATCAGACCCTGTGAAATCGTCCTAAATTGTTAATGCCTTCATCAAGCGGCTGCGAATAGTCTTGCTAGCTGCCACGCGGCAATGTTCGAGAAAATCACTTGCGCCTGATTAAAGTTGCAAGACCATACTCTCCGGGCCTAAATAGAATACATAGAACCATCTAAACAAGCTGAACATGAAGATCATACGTTCCTTTGGTTTGAAACACGTACCCTCAATTCAGCATTCAGTTTTGGCCAGAAAACAAGCTGCGATACCGTACCGAATGCTGATCCCCCGTGATCCTCGCCATACGACTGGACAGGGCTTCGGTTCGCCCGATCCGGGGTGTCAGCTCGTCCGACATGGAGGGTCCCCCGGTCCTCCGACCTGGTACAGGCGTGAAATCGCACCGCCTGGCCAGAGGTCTGTCTGACTTGGCGAACGGTCCCCCGCCTGACCTGAATGGCCTCAGGCTGTCTATGCGCTGTCGGCGGTCCGATCGGCCTGCGCCGCCGGCTGAAGTCTGACCTGAGGCACCAGCTCGCCGGCAACCAGCAGCTGCCGAACAGCCAGCACGTCCTGCGCGTCTCGCACAGCCTCGTCAGTGACCAGGTCACGCAGCATCCAGCTGCAGCTGAGGTGCGTCCAGCCCGGGTAGAGCGGCGCCACCGCTTCACAGTAACACGACTTGTTGCTGCCCGGGCCGCCTGCCAATGGCAGCTGGCTGAGAAGGGCGCTCTGCGGTCTGCGGCCGCGACCACCGAATACGGCTAAGCCCAGTGGAAAAAGGCGTCCTTTTGGAACAAAGAACATAAGAGAAAGAAAGAAAGAGAGAGAGAGAGAGAGAGAGAGAGAGAGAGAAGAGAGAGAGAGAGAGAGAGAGAGAGAAGAGAGAGAGAGAGAGAGAGAGAGAGAGAGAGAGAGAGAGAGAGAGAGAGAGAGAGAGAGAGGAGAGAGAGAGAGAGAGAGAGAGAGAGAGGAGAGAGAGAGAGAGAGAGGAGAGAGAGAGAGAGAGAGAGAGAGAGAGAGAGAGAGAGAGAGAGAGAGAGAGAGAGAGAGAGAGAGAGAGAGAGAGAATAGAGAGAGAAGAGAGAGAGAAGAGAGAGAGAGAGAGAGAGAGAGGAGAGAGAGAGAGAGAGAGAGAGAGAGAGAAGAGAGAGAGAGAGAGAGAGAGAGAGAGAGAGAGAGAGAGAGAGAGAGAGAGAGAGAGAGAGAGAGAGAGAGAGAGAGAGAGAGAGAGAGAGAGAGAGAGAGAGAGAGAGAGAGAGAGAGAGAGAGAGAGAGAGAGAGAGAGAGAGAGAGAGAGAGAGAGAGAGAGAGAGAGAGATGGCTTACATTCATCTAGATATCAACATTTATATAGATACATAAATGAATATCCATCAAAACACAACACGACGCAGCCACCAAACATATCCAAAACCCACAGCACACAAGCCCGGACTCTTCCAGACATTTCATTCCACCAAACTACACGACAAAACCAGCATGTCTCAGGTCTGCAAGGCCGCTGAAAGAGTAATCCGATCATGTGTCAGGAGGCGCTGTGAGCCAGTGTCTACAAGGGACCAACTGAGGCCTGAGGGCTGATGCCATCGTCGCAGGCTGAGGCTTTACTTAATCCGACAACAAGCCATCCGCGATCAACGAATTCTTACTCATGAAAAGCGGCCCATCACGCGATACCTATCTACTGAAACAATCCAACGTCACATGCAGTCACCTTGGCCCTCTCTGAAACTGCGGGCTCCGTTCACACTCTGACTGCATTGGATCGACACCATCTCATCCCGTAGACGCATCACAGTACAGATCCAGGACAGCGGCCCAGACACACTCGGAGTCTCACTTTCGTGTGTTCGTGAAAAGGGAAATAACAAGAAATACATTAGTGTTCAGTATTTTGTCTAGAAACATGATATGCATCTTTTGCATGTTATGTCTCTGAGTTAGTTTCAAATCATGCTTGGTGTTATCTAATATCATTACGTGTCATCAGTGAGATTTGGGTCATATTGTCCCTGACAGTGTCAAAGGATTACGAAAAATTCATCGAGTTAAAGGACTCAACATATATGAGGTTTGCTTGCACCTTTCTCGCAATGATGAGGTTTGCTTGTCCTGAACAAGCGCACCCCAGAAACATGCGTTTAATCCACAAGGTTGAAAATGCATATCGGAAGACAATAAACAAGGCATACACACAAGGTGGAACCATAAGTGTGCTTGCCATTATGTCTTTCACTTAGTTTAAGTTCAGGCAGGCACTTTCCGCCTCTCTATGCCATAAATCAACACTAAAAATTTTAATTGTGAAAACGGGCCAAAGACAAAGCGCAAAAACTCATGACAAGCACAGAAGCTGAACGTGTATGACATCTAATTGAGCCAAAAACTGCTTGCTGGCGTTCCCGCTCACTCCTAAACAAGTTGCACTGTTATTTGGGGTACTGGGTCTGTGTATTTTGAGGGCGGTTATTGGAAATTGGCATCCGTAACGATAATCTACCTTGATTTGAAAGCTCATTAAAGAATCGCTTTGAGCTTTGATATATCCAAAGTACTGTGCAGTTCGGATCATATTTCTAAACCACACATTTTATGCATTTGACACCGCTCGCGCTATTCTGACAAGCAATGTTCAAACATCACAGCACTGAAACAGCATTCAAACGCACAACGAGCATCTTTCTTGGGGGACCACTCCGTACTTTGTTGGCCTAAACAACTTCCACGGGCTGCACATCTCGCAGAGAGCCACCAAATCGAGTCAGTTGTAAAGCGACCACAGCAATGACAACGGCGAGCGGGCAGTTCCAGGCACCGGCTGTCCTCGGTGACCTGAAGGCGACTCGGCAGGCTGTCAGGCTAACAGACACGACCGTGCGGCTCACCTATGACAAATATGACAGGTCGGGACGTTCGCTGACGAGGGGAAAGCGACACCGCAGCCCTCAGGCCTGACCTGGGGGGACCTGGGGCACCTCGCAGATCTGAGGGACACATGCATATGTTAGAGCCAGGTGACGCGTTCAGAAAACACGCACGTGTCCGGCAACGCCGGGAGGGCTTAACAAGTTTTATTTAGACGCCATCGTGGAAAGTCTCTTCCAGAACGGTCGTCGGGGGGCACCAAAATCTGTAAACGTTAGGGCTATATCTAAAATACGCGAGTGCAGATATTGTAGATGGCAAATGAATGCAATTTCAATGGGGTCTTATCACTGCGCTTAGAGTTGCAGAGGACGAATTTGCAAAGTTAACAGGTCGTGGTATCCATTGTTTATAGCTTACGACTGGAGGTGGGTCTGGGCTAGTAGTCTGGCTGGCTTTAGGGTTCGGATAGTCATTGGGGGCTCCGAGGGACTGCGGATGCCAAGGAAAGGAGCAGGATCACGATAGCCACCACGTGCAGCCGTGGGTACTGCATGTCTGCATGTGTCGGGAGTTTGTAAGACGGTTAAATAATGAGGTATACTAGCAGGAGCAATTGTATTTACGTCTTGATAGCGTATTACTTGGGCTTTGACGACAGTAAACAGCAAAGGCACATACGAAAACCAGACCTAATGGCTACACAAAATGGACACGGTACACTGCGAAACTTGGACACGGTTGCAACAACAGGACAGCATTTAAGCATAATGTGCACGAATCTACCACTATTTGACTGCAATTTTCACGGCCTTTGTCACATGAGTGTCCGCACGATACAGTTGCGGTCGACACAGACAGGCGGTGTCCGGCGGTGGCCGGACGCCGGCAGGGGCGAGCCTCGGCCGAACTGATCCACGTGTCCGCGTGGCTATGCAGCCCCCATGGTACCCCACGAAAGCACGGCAACAGCTGGCAAAAGTCGCCTTGACAAGTAAAAAAGTACCTAATTATGTTCAAAATGGCTTTAGTGAAAACCTTGGACTTCATGCATGCATAACATTTAACCGGCTTAAATGAAAAATTGGTCATGCGTCATGCACTGTATGATATAAGAGTGCACATATTGTAGCTGTAGCTGTAGCTATAAGGTATGTGGAGGAGCATTTACAGCACCTCGCAAGTCTATCTTTCAAGTATGAAATAAACACTTATTGTAGATGCAGGCCAATTATCGCGAAGTCAGTGACGCGTTGAATATATATTCCTGTATAGCTTGGTTCAGACGGAAACGCAAGCTTGGGTTGGGGAAACAGCTGGATTGAGCTTGGAGGTAACCAAACAAATGTGGTTAGCTCCCTACAGTTAATCAAATTTCACACAAACCCTACGTCGTAGCACGGTCGCGTCCGACGTGAACACCGCCTCCCCAAATACTCAAACATACTGGCCGACAGCATCACTCAGATCGTCATCACGCTTAGGGGTTTTGGGTTGCGAGCTTGATGGGATTTGGCCGACATGTAAGCTAATCTATTTAGAGGGAACGGGACTTAGCGACCCAAAGTCTGGCTACGTATTTCAGACACATTCAGGGGTGTTTGCAATGTTATTTAACCGCCATCCGTTAGGGCAGAGCGGATGACCGAATACTACAGAGACCATGACAGAGATGTAGATGCACGTGCTGAAGGACTTCTTCCATGCTCTCCCATATGCGTCACAATTTGTATGTAATCCTTGCATTGAGCAAAATAGGCAAGTTATCGCTTGCGCAAGTGAACTCTGCTTCAGGCTGGCATAAATACCACTGGATTTTCCGGACATATCAGCGACGTCATTGCCAGTGGTAGAGTGCGTGGGACGGTTTGGCCACCAACGCTGTGTATGCAACCATTGTGGCATATACAAAGCCTTTGAGTTTGCGTCACATATAAAATTCGAAATGCCGTACTTACCCATCTCCAGGAACGATTTGAATGATTCTGGAGAGGAACAGTAGTTCTAATCAAACCATGCTTGAACTATTGCAAGTATTCCACGGGTTTTAAACGTTTGGTTTGTTTCGCACAATGATCATGTTTTCATGCATTTTTTGTTCAATGTGAGAACAAGCAAGGTAAAAGAGCAAACACCTGTGTCACGCGTAACCAAAGCATTTCTCTCGACCGGTTTAACAGATTGCGTCATAGGACAAATCCGCTGCATCGCAAGATGGACAGCCGAGAGCTGAACTGAAATATCTGATTGGCTGATCCGTGAGTGCGCTAGTGGGGCTGAATACAACATGATAAGTTCATGCTAAAACAAATAACAGGAACTTAAATCTATGAACAGGCACTGGTATGTATATTACCATGTCTGTGGTAACAACGTAAGCTCGCATGGTAGTCAATCGAAAAACCGGCACACTCGGCACACGCAAACAAAGCCAGGTCCATCAAACACGCCATCAGGTACCAACCACACCTAACAAAATACAGGCGACATTCTAGATCGCCACCCACCGACGTGCAACAACTGCTCCTTAGCAGCTTGCACGATCGTGCGCTGTACATTAAGCACCAACGAATACAAGGTTCACGGCAAGTAAGGCCACTGGCCGAGCGCTCCTTCACGCAACCGAAGATGTGAAACCTGAGCGAATCCAGTCCGCGACGTCCTGCCGTGCCATTGCGGTCTGTACATGTGGTAATGGTTTTGCTGTGGTTTGAAGCAGTGGGTAGCCACGTTTCCCGGATCTGTGCGGTTGCGCTAGTGAGACGGCTATAAGCGTGCTTTGCTCTAATCTACCCCGAACATGTGGTAAATCAAACATTTTGCGCGAGCCCGTGAAACGACACTTGAGCGCACGTGATGCTGACACGCATGAGCTAAGCTCTACTTGAGATAAATCACGCCGCGTGCTGATATTCCTGAGGACATTTGAAACACAAAGCACGGCTGGTATTGGGCATACGGCTGTCAACGGGTGGCAAAGCATAAAGACTGGTTGTCATATGGTACAAAATGTAAAAACGACTGATGCGGTCGAATGTATGAGGATCAAAACACATTTCCGCGCTAAAACACGACCGCGTCATACAATGCGCTTGACATCCGCCGCTGACCGTAAGAACACAGGGTGCCCTCGGCTCTGTCACACTCTGTTATGCTTAGCGTGTCCGCATTTAAGGCCCCGCGTGGCGGTTTTTGATTGTTTCAAACCTACCAGAACCATGCGTTTACCGTAATGACAACTTTGACAAGTATTTGAACGGCATATTTTTGGTCACAATTACCACTTACAACAGGATTGGACAGACCACACGTGCTCTCGGTGCCCACCAACAAGGAACAACTGTGAGCCGAGCATAACATAGAGTTCTTCTGTGCATTTTTGCCAGCTGAAATAGGGTGTTAAAAACATGTCCATTCACTGCTACCAAACTCACCGTTGTTCTGGTTCTTATCTGGATGAAGCGTTGAGCTGTTGTCTACCAACTTCTTTACAATGGAATCCATTTCGTTCACAATTTCGTGCATGTCGCATTCAACCACGTTGATCTGAAAACGGAACCATTTCCAGTCAGAACATGCATGAACAATGCGCATGTCAGCACTGCCCTTTGGCCCACGGTCGCACATGGATCATTGGAAGATATGCTTCATTTGATACTAAATTTTGCCATTTAGTGTAAAAATGCGGCATTTAGCTGCAACTTGGCATGCAACATGATACGTGGTACCGTGGTGCTGTGATATATGTGGTGCCATATATGATACAGTGGTACTACAAAAGCATTGCATTGCTCATGCACAAAACACCTGGATTGTGGAATATTTGCTTTAACACGCGCTCGGATGGGGTTCAAACTGACTCTAGAAAGTTTTCCGGAATGGTTTCCGAACGACGTGGAGTAGCCCCCGCCAAATTTTGCGCAACTGTAGACAATTAAATAGCGGATCGCCTGGCATCACAGATTGAGATATACCTTGTAAGGTCGCTGACCCATGGCAGGCCAAAGTAAGGTCATGATTTCAGCAAAGGCAATCCCCAGGGTATCGTTAAGTCTGATCCAATAACGTAGTGTTGGACAAAGCCATACATCTCTGAGATGTTTTCGTAGGCAACACAACAATTGAATGAACAAATTCCACTGACCGAAGGTCAGGTATAACGGTCAAGCCAAGGTCAAAACCAACCTGTTTTATTGCTCTAAGGCTTGCTATATGGGACAGTTTCTGGTGCTCATTTCAAATTTAGTGACAACAGGACCCGCATTATGTATCTTCCATTGACTTCTGGAAGTTCACAATAGGTCACTGACCTAAAATGAACCAGGTCAACGTTTTGTTTAAGAAACATACTGCCTAGCGTAATCTTTCTCGTTGATTCAATTGCAAAATTCAAAGCAGTCTTGTAGGATTTTGGTCACCATGACCTTCAAAAGATCAAGTAAGGTCAGTGACCTTAAATGAGCATGTGACCTTTTGTTTGAAACAATTATCCAGGGCCAGCAGCCCTTTGGAGACCGACCCGGAATTGACTTTGCTTGACCTTATTTGACCCGAAGGTCATGACATAGGAAACTCAAACTTTAATATAGGTAAGCTCACGCACATATCAAGACACCCTGTGAATTTGGTGTTTCTAGCTCGCTTGGTTTCCGAGATCTCAGCGGGTTCAAACTGACCCCCACCCGAGCAAAGGCCAACCGGCCAACCGGGCGCGAGTTAGATGACATACATTCAAAGGCCAAGAGACCTGGACCATATTAGCAAAGCAAACGCGATTTTCTAGACCTCTTTCCACCGACCCCGAATGGCCCATTCCACACCTTGTACAGCACGTCCTTGTTGTTCATGAGCTCTGTCAGCGGGAGGACGTGCGTGAGGAATTCTCGCAGCTCCAGCTCCCCGGCCTCCGCCGTCAGCGCGCCAGACTGCAAGGCCGAACCCGGAGCTCGTCACGGATCAGATTTCAGGCTCGCCACGGATCAGATTCAGGGATCGATGCGGTTCAGATCCAGGGATTGTCACCGGTAATATCCGAGGCTCGTCACGGACCAGATTCAGGGATCAATGCGGTTCAGATCCAGGGATTGTCACCGGTAATATCCGAGGCTCGTCACGGATCAGATCCAGGGATCGCCACGAGTCATATCCAGGAATCGTCACAGCTCAGATTGTGGCTCATTACATACCAGATCTGGGGATCGCCACATATCAAATACGGCATTGGCCACCGTGGTAACTATTCACTTCACTTCACCTTCACTTCACCTCATACACTCACACCCACACCCCCTCCCCACATGCACACACGTACGCACGCAAGGCTTGCATTTATTCTTCTGTGTTAAACGCCAACAAGAAATGCCATGTCAGCGTCGGTCAGTCAGGCGGGCGGGCAAGCGTCGGTACGTTGCCCACCACTGGCTGCATGTCCAGCCGCCTGAGCTGGCCGGCCACGAGTCTCTCACCTGCACGCCGTCCTGCACGAGCCGCTCCAGCATCTCCTGCCGGTGGTCCAGCAGGATGACCCCGTCCAGCCGCGATATCTGCCGGGGCCGACAGAAGGGCTCAGTGCTGACGCCGCCCTGGCGACGCCAGCGATGCCGACTGGTGGCTGGAGACGGCACAACTGCTCCTCCGTCTATCTTATGCAGCCGCCTCCGTCCGGGCCTCTAAATTTGTTTGGTGTTAGAGAAGCTACCCGCATTTGGAGCAGCAACATCCTTTCTTACAGTCTCATCTTGATGTTAGTTGGCTGGATTTTAGAACGTATCGAGGGTAACAGCCTTTTTTACTGGGGCCAAAAAACACGGCAGTTTTTCAGGTGCTGTGACACAAGCTGACAGAGATGCGAAAGCTTACTAATAGCCTGCTGAAGATGTAAGCGTGGAGTATTCATCAAGTGCATTTGGGGAACAAGTTCCTCGCCTGCTTTGTTTGCGTAAACAATGCAACGTACTGTTCTGTTCCCCAGTATCTTGAGGTCCGTACCTTCTTGGCGCATTCTACTACATCGTCGATGTTCCTTGGGAAACCCGATATAACGAATCCAAGTCGGGCATTGGAAGCCTTCATTCTGGCGGTAAGCATTTCCACTGCTGCTGTTGATGGCACCATGCCTCCGTGATCCATGTCTGAAACGTGGCAGAGTATTGAGCCACTCCACCTCGGCAGTGACTGGCCAGATTTAGACCATCGCATCAATACTGCTCAGCACGTCAAGCCTACACGCCATAAGGTCATCGCGATGGCACGTGCTGTGCCGCTGCTGTGCCACTGCTGGCCTGCACGATGCACGTGCTTCTGGTAGGTGCAGGCGAACGCCAAACCACTAACGGTCACGGCGCCAATGGGATCACGTGGAGCCGTTTATTGACGCAGGCAGGCACGAAAAAGCCATCCTTGCCTAAAATGTCAATGAGATGGAGTTGGCAGACAACGGATGGTTTAAAAACATGCATGAACATGTTTGCAGAAAGCATGCGCACCGTGTAGTCACGCTCGTTCGCACATCAAATACAACTTTCACTAACCGAAATGTTTAGCGTAGTCCTTCAAAACTTTGGTCATCGAGATATGGCTGAGTTTTCCCTGCGAGCCTTGGGCCAGGGCCTCTGATAGTGTCACCTTGCCTGTTCCCGGACCACCTGGTGCGGAAGGTAGACATCAATAGGTTATGAACAGCTAATGAGATCCGTCAGCAGTGTGGGCAGGTGCGCAAACTCATCACGTTTCGCTTGCAGGCTGCACGCGCTCGTATCCAGGTTACGCACACAGTCGCTCACACACAGTCACTGCGCAGGCCCAGACCGCACTACGCTCTAAGCAGCGGCTGCACGCGCTCGTATTCAGGTTACACACACAGTCGCTCACACACAGTCACTGCGCAGGCCCAGACCGCACTGCGTTCTAAGCAGCGGCTGCACGCGCTCGTATTCAGGTTACACACACAGTCGCTCACACACAGTCACTGCGCAGGCCCAGACCGCACTACGTTCTAAGCAGCGAGTCTCCTTAGTGGGCGACACCGCACTTGCGAAGCAGGCATATGTCACAGCTTTACCACGCCATAAGACAGACATTGAAGACGGCGTGTTGCCTTCCTGGCGAAAGGTGGTTTGGGGCCAATGGCGGTAGCTGGCTAACGAAGTGGGCGTGAAGACTGCGTTACGCAGGAGAGGCAGTAAATGATGATACAAATGATGGAAGGTTACCTGTTGTAAGGAAGGAAAACCCTCACAATTCGTTTGACGAAACGAGGACGTATTTCAAGTGCTCGCAAGCCTCGACGCACCGCAGACGGGGTGTATGCCGGGTGATATGTCGAACGGGGGACGATATCATAGTTATTGGCCATGTGCATCCTATTGAACCGATTCATTGTAACTGTTCAGTGAACAGTCTTGTCTCCTACGCCTGAGTGCACGGCGCAGTGAATCAAATGACACTTTAGAAATCCAGACTTCGATACCGGTGCCTGTAAATATTTCTTCCTCTTCTTACCTCCAATAAACCACGAGCTGTATTGTTTATCCACACTGTTTCAGCGCGCTGGCTTGATGAGTCGTTCAAAAGACCAATGAGCATTGTAACAGTCAATATGGTATTTTTTTGCTAACAGTTACCTTACTATCGTAAAGCCACCGATCAGTTGTGCCGATAGTGTATGAGTGTAGGTTGTGCCAAAATCGTCGACGTGGCTTATATGCCCTTGACAGCCCCGAGGCCTCCCTCAGGAGCAGACCTACAAAATCAGTCACGTATGCAAGCATTGATATATTCTACACGCGATGATGGGATATAGACGAATACGCAGGAAACACTACGTTTTTGGTGGTTACTACACACAAAACCAGATCGAAAATACGCATCTGAGTGCAATGTAAACGCACTCTCACTTCAATGTCCAATATTTTTAAAGGTTTTTAGGGCATGCCGAATCCATTGGTCATACGCCACCCACCAGTCCCACTTTCCCTGTTGATTAAACAAAGAATCAGAGGTGTTCCTTGACAGCACCAAACAGCTCGCTCAGGTGCGCAGATATGCTAAAATGTGTCTTTCATCTCAAGCTAATGTTCTAAAAGTAAAAGCTATGCCGTGCATCCTGAACTGGCACGGACACATGACGAATATCTGTGTATCGCGTCATGTAAGAGGAAGCCGAGTACTTCAGCTTCGCAAGCCGCTGACTGGCTCCGCGCGTCGTCGGCAGATGACGCCAGTTTGGTATTCATTAAGCGCCTTTACACTTCTGACACGGCTCCACGCCTATCGACTCGCTGACCCGCCCGCACGCAGGCTACTGTTCTGGGTGGGTTTCGACCTGATGAATGCAGCTGCACACGAGTCTGGGGGGGGGGGGGGGGGGCAATGGTTGATCACTCAACTTGGTGCCTGATCCGCTGCCTATAGGTTACAGGGATAATCATTAGTCGTTTTTCAGTTCTTGAAGCAGCGTCCACCTCAAGATGCCACATGTTTTTTCCAAGGTCCTGGCTGCAAATGACTGGTGCGTGCTTTTCATCAATTTTTCAAAAGAACTGAAGCAGTGCCAATGTTTTTCAGAACACAAGCTGTTGGGGTTATTAGCTCCGCACAACCATTGTTATTTCAAGGATAATGGGCATCCTATCGAACGACCGACCACGCAAAGTGGTGGGCGAAAGCAGCATCGGTGTTCGTAATGGCCCGTAATCCACGTATGCAAATGTGGACCGCGTCAGTGTACCACTCTAAAGACCGGTGTCGTTTCGCTTCTACTCATGTAACACCCGCGCACTGAACTCGTTTTGAGCCCGAATTCACGTCACAAAGGCTACCACCAGGACGTGGGAGGTTTCAGTTCGGCGCCAGCTGATGCCTGGCAGCGGCTCGCCCGGCTGACGGCGCGGTGTGGGCCCTGAAAGCCCATCAAGGCGCCGAGTGCGCGGGTCTGATGAACCGCGGTCACGGAGCAGCCGCTCATGGTGTCCCCATTCTCACGCTGGACGGTCCTGGGAAATATGCATGCAACGCTCGTTTATCTGCTTGTGCATGCGGACCGCGCCTCCGCTGTGTGACGGCTGTGGGCTTTATCCGCGTGCTTCCAGTTCATTGGTGGGTAGAAATGGCTTGGCTTGGACTAAGTATCCAGGCCTGCGCTTCATGCTGACATTGGAATATGTTACCCAAGAGTTCACGATGGAATGTCTCCGACTGGTCGACCACAAACTCTTGCTCCAGCCATTTCCATATGCCAGTAAGCAAAGTGAAGCCCTCGCCCTGATTTGCCGTTTTTCATAACGTGGATTGCTCGGGGGAGGGGTTAATGTAATTTGCCCGGCATTTCCAAGCTAGTAAAGATAAGGCTTAGTGGAAAGCACCACTGTATGGCTCAAATAAAAACCTCCCAATCAGTACCAGTTAGTGTATTGCTATATTAACAATTTACCTCATTATGCTAAATCAAAGGTAAAATTTTCCAGATGATCGCAATTTAAAAAAAATTGCATCACCCATACGAGATCATGTCTGGTGGAGACGCAAAATCTCAGCGTGTTCCTTGTTCAATGCTAAGTGCATGGGTTTACATTGTTATGCGTTGTGAACAAATGATCACGATATATTGTTTCGTTAATGTAACAATGTCGGTCCGCTGCGCACGCTCCGCGGCATCGTCGGCTGTCACACGTCGCCCGCGCCGGCCGTAGATCGCTGTGCACTGCCCATAAAAACCGCCGAGAAACTCCCCAACCAGAGAAGCCAGGGACACATTTTTGGCGTCAAAACAAGCGATGCCCAAAGACCATTGAAAATGTGGGTGCGATTTCACAACATACCAGAGAGGTACCCTCACAATACCTTGTTGGGATATATTGACCCCTCCCCATCAGGGCGAGCGTTTAAAGGAACGTTGTTGCATCGAAGTTGCACATTAGAAGATAATGAAGTAAACATGGGAGAGATTAAACTAAACTCACTTATAAGCAATGGCTTATTTTTAAGTGGAAAAGACTGCTGGAGACAACATAATTTCTCTGCTTAGTAAATATGCCCTCAATACGCAATTGTTTGTGTCATGGAACGTTTGCATGACATTGAGATGCTGCCAAACTAGCCATGCGAAATTCTGCGTTAGCACTCAATTGTAGCACTCCAAACTCGTTGAAAAGTGGAAGTAATGTGCTGGACGTGTGCACTGCGCCAAATATCGCGATGTGCTCGTGTTTGGCCTTTTATCGTGGTGCTCTTGCACATTAGCCGTGAGCTTAAGATGTTAACTTGCATTCACATACTCGATTATGACGATTTTCTTAAGTTATTCGTTTAGAAGCCTTCTTTTATTAATTGGTAGTAACTTTGTCCAGCTTGCTATGTCATGTGGCTCAAAAAGGCGATTCTTAATTCAAACTTGTACAGCTTCCTCAACTTTGATTGAGAGCCGTCCACTATATTTGGAAGTCGTGCTCACGGATGCCAGATCTGAACGGTTCAACACAAATATTCTACCTGCCTATGAACACCACATAGTCTATGGGGTGGCAGGATTTGAATGGCGTTGTTATGACATCATGCATAATTGAATAGCCTCGAAAAAGTCTACACGAAATAGGTTACAAATCTTCGCGGGCGAAAAGCCCAGAAGCTGGAGGGTTTTGGGTCTTGAAAAGGGCAAAGCTGTGAACTGCACCGAATGATCTTCAAAATGGCCATTTCGGCTCAAAACCCCATACAAATGTGAAACACTCCCTATTAAGATAGCCCATACCCGTGACTTCACTGCTGAGGGTGCTGGTTAATGCAGCGTCAGTCCAGCGACCGAGCGACCTCCCCCCCCCCCCTACCCAGCTGCTGCCATCATCTGCGAGGGAGCGAGTCAAAGAAAAGCCTGCGGCAGTCAGGCTCGAACAGAAGGCCTCTCACCAATATTGCAAGTGTTAGCCAGTGGTTGGAGACATTCATGATACCTACGTCAACCTCGCCAATGGTGTGCTGCAGGGGCATTGCCTCTGCGCAATTTGTTCTGGGGGTTTTCAAGTTTGGTCATGGTTTGCTAATGTGTGCTATGGAGTTTTCCAAAGGTGCAGTTTTTCCATTGATGTACTAGAAACATTCGACGATTTTAAACTGACATTGCAGATTATAGGTATCATTAATTGGGGACTTTATTTGCATGCAATGTGCAGTGCGAGAGCATGCTTCGGCTTGCAATCTGTCTTCAGTATGGTTGAAATCCATGAAAACTGTGGTGCCTCCACGTGGCTGGTGTAAACTGCCAGTTGCCTTGCAACGATTTTGACCCACCTGTCTCTAGATCCAGACGTTTTCTGCTCTGGAGCTGTGCTGTGGGCTAAATGCTGAGGAAATGTGTTGGTGAATCTGTCGCGTGTCACAATCAGCAAGCCTCCAACACAGGGATGTAGTGTTGTAAAATCGCTTTGGACGATTAGCTGACGAAAAACGGTTAAATTTTCCCTTAAATGCACTAAAAACAGATTTATCTACGATTTAACTCACTTCATTCTCAAACTTAAGGGGGGGGGGGTGAGGCTAAACTGAATAGAACTTAATTGAATGAAATGCGACAGACTAAGTTACACCAGAACAGGAAACAATTGAATAAGAACCTACATCCCTGCCCCATCAGGTTTCCTGGCTTCGTCTC